TGATACTTGAAACAAAATACTTTAGTTTGTTCAACTATGAAGACAATAGCTGTTATTCAATGTAATGCCTGACAAGAATTTCTAGGAATCCTAAATCAGAATATCTTGAACTTCTTTCCTGCAGTAAAATCCTCTATATTCTTTAAGTTAGAAGCTTCCTGTATTTGATTTTTCCACTGTGAGGACTGTTTTTTCAGTCACTCATCTCTCACCCTAAAAACTGTCTTATTCCATTATCTATCAATCTCTCTCATATCTCTCCTATCCTATCTGTTTCCTATCTGTTTCACTCRGATTCAGGCCCACAGAATCAGAATCTGTAAAAACAGATCAAAGATCAGTGTTCCACACTGGGTGGCACAACCCCCTAATCTATCACAAAGTACTTCCACATTGCATTAGAGCATCATAGCAGTTTTCTGTGATGATGGTTCATTTTTTTTGGTCTGCTCACCATACAGTTCTTTTTCTCAAATGCTCCTGGGCTTCTCCCCTCACTTGTGTATTTTCTTCCTAAATTCTTAAGCAACCTCAAGAGGAAAAGTCCCCGAAAACTACCAGGTCACAGCATCTGCTCATCCCAGAAAATCTCTAGAGCAGTGATTTTTGAAAGTTCAACCATGTATCAGGATTCTTTTTTCATCATCAAATGAAAATATACTAAAGGGCTAGAAGGACATTTTATCCATTTCAGTAACGGAACTTTTATGTTATATTTTACTTTCGAACAATGAAGACACTCTCAAACTCACTGCTTTTTCAAGTCATCTGCTAAGCATTAAAGTACCTTAAGCCTCCTCCTTTCTCTCCAAACAGTTTCTCTCTTCTACATTAATGTTACAAAACCCATCATACTTCCTTGTAATGCCTATGTAATACTACACCAGTGAAAACAGATGTGTATCTTTTTTTCCAAAGACATTCATGCTGCATACATTACAAAATGCTGCATGAGACTGTTTTCAGTCAGTTAGATAGCATTTGCCAATTTTCAGTAAGACCAAATAGAGATGTGCTTATGTCATATTTCRCTTATGCCAGACACTTGCAAACCTGCTCTCCCCATTTATAGGCTCTCCTTGACCTTCTACAGTCGGGAACTGYAGTGGTGGTCTGAAGAGAACAGACTTTTTATAAAAAATATATCACCATCATAAAGACTAAGGCARAAGGAAAAATACTGCACTGATTCATTCATTCAGCATTTATTTTGTAGTAAGTGATCTCTTTGTATTTTTAAGTATTGCTCCCTTATCTTGCAAAGTGAGCACAGYTCTCAACCATGGGCAGGTTTCTATTGATTAGAGTTGGTCTACATTTAAGCAAGCAGATAAAATAGCAAAGAATCCCTTATGTATGGTAATGTATGGAAGATGTTGCAGAAAAACTAGGTGTCACCAATACATGTCACTCTTCATTATTACAAATTTGTGAGGTGACAACAGCTGGTATTAAAAAAGAAATCACTGCCAGCTGAATTAGGAGTGGAACATCRCTTACCCAGTTTGGATCCTGAACATATGTATTCTTCAAACACACTGTTGAATGTCTTCAAGGGAAATTCATGCTTTGGCATAAGCCAGAACAAAAAAGAAAACCCCTTCAAAGTTACTGGGCTTAAAAGAAAACTTTAAAAAATAATAAAAAGTCATATAAATACAGGGACAGTGATCGAACAGCCAATTGATCTAGCCTAAGAACTGGTAAGTTCAGCTGCACTTCCAAATGAAATCTTAAGCAATTAAAAATTAAAATACCCAGACCTGTTGTTGTCAACTGGGGCAGAGACAGAGGGACCTGGGACAGTATAGAAATTCATCTGCATACACTTGCTTTTACTGCACATGAATTCACAACCTATTCAATATCTAACACAAAGAGGTTCTTAACTTCCTAGCTATCTATTTTTATATGCAATAATGCTGCATGCAGATTTGTATATACTCAGCAAGACTCCTAATTATGTTGCATTTTAAGAATCTTACTRATTACCAGTATCTAGTTACGACAAATTCTGTAAGGTAACAGTACAACACCTAAAAAGTCCTTTATATTTTTCGGTAATCTTTTTTTCGGTAATCATTTTCAGAAAATCTCTTATATCTTTCATTATGGATTTTTCCAAAGATGTCTAATCATTTTTTATCTTTTGTAAACTAAACAGTCAATGCTTCTAAGCTGTCCTGAAGAATGTTACTGTCTCTTCCTACTCCATATTCTCTGATAAATGGAAACCTACAAAAATACCTTATTCTTAACCCTTTAAGTACGTGCGAAGAAGGGATGATGTATGATAATATCTATAACCAAAAGTTTACAGAGAAGAAAACACAGTGAAACACTACTAGAGTCACTTAGGACTTATGTGAACTGATTAAAGTTATGAACTTATTAAAAAAAAACAAAAAGCAAGTCTAGAATCTGGGAGGAGACAATTACTTGCAACACTGACAGCTCATAGTCATCAATGACCATGTGCTGGCTGTCAGTAACACACCACACACTTTTATCCTATTTAAATGGCTTTATAAAAATTCTTGCTATTGCAGCAATTGCAATGAAGAAGAAGAAGATTATGAAATCTACTGTAATACATGGAAGAGAAGAATTTTACTCCTCACAGGGGTGAAGAACTTCTAGTTATCAGATAAAGAGAGAAGATAACCATGTGAATGAAAAATAGAAATCTGCTTCTCTGGGAACATGAAGCAATACTTCTTTGCATTACAAGGAATTGCCATTCTATCTGCCAAGAGGAAAAGAAAGAAAAATTAATTTGGGAAGAAAAATTAAATTCTCTGTAGATTCTGAAAGGGAAAATTACACTTACGAAAGCCAAAGGCACCATGAGGTGATTTCTRATGGGGGCACTCTCCCACAAAAGGCTCTCTAAAAGGTAATTCATGAAGTGTAAGACATGGACAAAGACAGATACTGTGAATATTTTTCTGTCACAAAAGGACAGTAGATGGAATGAATTCAGTGAGGGAGAGAAAGAGGCACCTTTCTTATTTAATARAAGTATATCAGATGTATTTTTTTCTCAGGTTTTTTATACATTTGCAAATGGATTAGTGTTATTTTCTSGTTGCTGTGAATAAATGCTTATATCCGCATTTTCCACAAAGATAATGAAGTAAGAATTTAAAATAACTGGGTAATAAGATAGTAAATATTCAAAAGGTGTTATGTTCTGCCTTCATTTCAGCTGCAGTGGGGAAGAGGAGATGGAATCATAGAGACCAGAAATACGTTCCATCAAAAAGTGGAACACCCTTTCTGCTATGTAASAAAAAAATGTACTAACATTAATTCAAAAAAGAAATACTCTTACCCATAACTCAGTAAGTATGTAAGATAGATGGAAGTAGATACTAGATGAAGCAGGGAACCAAAAAAAATAAGTCTTGATGTGCTGGAGAAGGAGCTAAGAAAGGTTCCTCACTGGAATATTCTTAGAGTGATTTCTAAAGTTAAGTTGAATATGAGATAGGCCATATACTAGAAAGTGTTTTTGACCTCAGAATTAAAATAACAATAGCAAATACAACGTTTTGAATATATTAGTATCTCTGTTAAAAATAATAAAATAGAAATTTCCCCTAAAAAAAAAGTGGTTTATTGTTATTTCATTTTCTTTTATAACCTAGTCAATATAGATTTTGTGAAAACAAGCAAACCAAGTCTGCAACAGCCTAATAAACCTCACCCTCGGCCATGCAGCACTGAGACAAAATAAAAACTAGCGTAAAAGTTTTCTAAACTACCAGTATGAAAGGAGATTTCAGGATTTATATTATTGTATACTAATTTTGCATCTTTTTGCATAACAGAAAATAATTCAATGAAAGAAGCAATTAAAGGAAACTAAAAATGAATATTAAAGACAACTAGTTTTAATTTATTTCAGCTATTTTTAAGTTATTTAAGAAAAGTATACAATGAACACAAAAGTAGAAAATGCAGGACCAAAATTTAATATTTATACTGTTTTTAACACACCCGCAAATGTAAAAATATTAACCTAAAGATAACTCCCTAATCAAAGGAAGGACTAATATTTTAATATGGCCATTCTCTCACAAAAACAATGAGAAAATAAACATAAGAAATTAAGTATTTTTCTAATTTTAGGACCAAAAAAAAATGGGCATATTTCAGAAAGAAAGTCAGAGAATTTTACTGCATCTGATTTCTCTGAAGATTTTGTACTAGCTACAGTACCTTTCATACTTCTATTTCAAAAGCCTCTGATTCCTCAGTTACATCCACACAGACTCTGGCTCCCATCTGCCTGGTATCAACTGCAGCATCTGAGATCCAGATGGGCGTCCTATTACTGAGCAGCTCTTGACAGTTCGGAAACAGCTTTATCTAAAAAAACAAAGTTTGCCTGCCCCACTCTTAACCCTGTACACACTGAACACTGTGCTTGTAAGGAAGTGATGAAAAATTGCACATTATTGAGGCTGTGAGATTTTATACTGAACAGTTAGTGAAAAGGATGATTAATAAGAAGTTTTTCCTATAAGAAGTTGTACAAAACTAAGTTTGTAGGAGAGCTTTCTTTCTTTCCAGAGATATACACAAATCAAAGTTAAAGATAACACTGAAGATAAAGTATGCAATAACCTTAAATATTAACAGAAAATTAAAAGTGCAAAATCAAATGAACAATTTTATAATTTTTCTCAAAATCACTTGTTCTCAGAAATACAAAATCCTACCACAGAAAAACAATGATTTATTTCATTAGCCATATTATTTTGCATGCTGACAAGAATATATTATATATTTTAAGTTTTCGATAAAACTGCACATCTAAAAGGAGACAGAATGAACCCAAAGGTTAGTTTACTTCTTATATAAAATAATACAGGTCTAATAATACTCACTTCCAGATCTGTCAAGTTCTTCTTTCTAGTCTGCAGTAACTTTCCATACGTCTTTTCTTCCTGATTTAATCTTTTTTCATATTCAGCTAGCTYATCATGGAGATCATTAAATACCATCTGAACATTTTGCTGCTTACACATCACATCACTTAATTTTTTCCTTTGGAAGAAAAATGTTTAATTATTTAATTGAGATACTTTGCTACAGTATTTTAGAGAACTTACTTATCATTTTMATGTTTAATTTACTAATAGATAATGTACACAATTGTATGTATGTAATGTAATTTACATAATGAAAACCTTTTAGAAAGAACMAAAAAAATATGACTCCTTCTGCAAGTCTGAATCTAACTGGTATGAAACGACTGACTTGAAGTGGTTTTGAGTGATGGAAAGATGCTTTCCATTCTTGAGGTCCCTCTGCATCATTATGTTTGAATAAAGAGTTGTAAAAAGGAACATCCACTCACATACAGAAATTTAAAATTCATAATTTAAATTATTAAAAATTAATAATTTAATTAAAAATTTACATAGAGAACTGCTTTATTTTTTTTTTTCCAGTCAAGAATCTAATGGAATAGTCTTGCAACACCAACACTACGTCAGTGCAGGAGATCACAGACAGGGAAATGTAATATACTCACCCAAGGTTCTTCCTTCCAGAATTTACCTGTCCWGTATGACTCCACACCACAAGCTGCTTTCTCTGTGGCATTGCACAGCGGGTTGACCTTTCTCCTTGAAGAGAAGGCCTGCTGTGCAGTMAGCCCACCAAGGCTTGCGTGGCCCAGAAAGCAGCCTGCACTTTCAGTTGACTAGAGCCCTTTGAGACTATTTTGGGGACTCATTAGTCACAGTAAGAATTGGCCCACATTTCTTAAACCACAGAAAACAGAGAATGGGAGGAATCTTCCATTAATTAAGGATGCAACTGACCATGAATATTATTAGATTTCCAGAAGTAATTCTGATGCCTGAAATTCCATTTGGTAGGCAGACAATTTATCATGAGTGACTTCCACAGATGCATTAAAACAGCAAGCAATCGCCAAACAAAAACACCTTCAAATCATTGAGGAAAATTCTGTTATATTTCYTAGAAATAATACTGTAAAAGTAATAACATAACATAAAAAAATCATATAAGAGGTAGCTCTTACCCCAAATCAATTATAGATTTTTCTGTATTTTCCAACTGCATTTCCTTCATGTTCGATAGTGAATTTAATTCATCAAGTTTGTTTTTAATATCTTCAGTAGTGTGAGAATTTTCAGCAATTTGACTGGAAACAACTGAATATTTTTCCTTGAAATTAAAAAATATATAGCATGTATAATAGGCAGGGCCAGATTTCCASATACCGTATTATAACAAGATTATAGGCAACAATGTATGTAATTGTGTACCCAAAGAAGCAGGACTGCTTTCAGAGGGGCAGCTGAAGCACTTGTCACAACTGGAATAATTGCATTTCCTCAAGAGTCTGATTTCAAAAACCCCAATTGTAGTTCCCCAACTTGTTGCACAAACCTCCTGCTATATATAAATACAAATTTTATTATGGTGTTTGCATTGCCACAAGCTGAGGCACCAAAAGTTCCACAGGAACTTAAGGAAACACTTCTGGACTGTGAGGGTGACAGAGCCCTGGCACAGGCTGCCCAGAGARGTTGTGGAGTCTCCTTCTTTGGAGATTTTTAAAACCCGCTTGGATGCAGCCCTGTGCCACATGCTCTAGGTGACCCTGTGTAAGGGTTGGACTAGATGACCTCTGAGGTCCCTTCCAACCTTAAGCATTCTGTGATTCTATGATTCTATGATTTTTGTGATATTGTATGTACATGTAGGTTTGTACCCCTTCTTCATGAAGTATATATCCACTCTTATTTTTGCTCTCACATAAAGAAGTTTTCAAGTAACAGTTTGCACTGCAAAGATGTTATTAGTGATAGTGAGAGATAACAATTTTCATATTTGACACAAGTCCTGGCCAATTTATTTCAGCACATTTGGAGTCAGTGATTTAATTGAGATCTTTTATTACCACGCCATCAAAATATTTACATGATTTAGTATTGTTTCAAGGTAGACACTTGAAAATCTTGACTTTTGGAATAGTTCAAAGTAGCATGTGGCTTACTCATTACCTCTGAAAACCTACTTTATTATTCATTTAGTTGAAAAGTAGGTAACTAAACTTTCCTTTCATGTGTTAAAAATAGTTGTCCTGCGCTATAGACAGTAAATGACTAGAGCAAAAGCCTTCTGAATTCATCTTTAAAACTTTTCTCAGCTACAAGCACACCCCTTTTCAAAGAAATGCTGAAATAGATGTCTCAGTTGAAAACTGAAGATTGATGAAAAACTTTTATATATATAAAATATAAATTCTTTTCTTTTTTCACTGGAGTACCTGTTCTGCAGTAGAGATATTAGATTCAAAGTTCTTTTCCACTCAGAAACTGGCTGAGAGTCACAGGATCAAGAAAATATAAAGATTCATTATAGAAGCAAGTATATATAGAAGCAAGTATATATAGTATATATAGAAGCAAGCATTATAGAAGCAAGGCACAAGTGGAATTGAATCTGGCACGGGATGTTAAGA